AAAACCTCCCAGGGACAATTGTTGGAATGTTCTTTGACTAAACAGCTAAACTTAAAAATGTAACCTAAAGTTTCCCTGATGTTGAATGTGAAGATAGTGAACATCATTATTATCCATGGTGTGGTTTTGCTGTGTGGGTTCAGGGTTGTAATTACTTCTCAGTGGTGTGTAAATTCTTGAGAGTTCCCCATGCTATCATTTCATGTTGTGGATTTTTGGAAATGACTTCTTTAGGAGATATTTTTCTTTTTCCTCCTAAATAGGGAAATAATAAAGGCTTAGTAAAAGGATCTTTGATTTTGATCTTGGCTTATACAATTTTCTTTCTTTTGCCTAAATCTATAGGCTTTACATATCAGGGAGTAAAATTTTAGAGAATGATTATGTAGTACAAAGGCCATCTGTGTTATGATTTGATATGTTTAAGAACAAGATTAGATTTACCTAACTATAAAAATTTATCAAGGAAATATGACTTTACTAACTATACATTTAATAAATAGAAAGAGAAAAGTAATAACTTTTAAAATATGTAGTCTGTGAGTTAAACTATGTGGAAATGGTGAAGTGGTAAGTGTAAATGAGACCACAGCAAGAGGTTCCGCAAGCACTTTGGAAATAGGCTTCTTTGAGGTTTAAAATGGGTCAGAGAAGGAAATGTGCAGCTCTGTCCAGGATCTGTTCATCCTCTCATCCCATAAGGATTTGCCTAAAAACTTTACTGGAGACTTAAAGAGGGAGGGGACTTGGAATTCAGTGGAAGCATGAGCATGAGCAAGAAAGAGTGGCAGTGCCAGACTTCTGCAGTGTCTGCACATTTTCCAAGGAAGAAAGTGCAGTGTCAGGGGCATTTCAGCTGTCTGGTCTGCCTGTTACAGCCTTTTCATGGATAGGAGCACAGCAGTCCTAGTGCGGGAGGCATTTAACTGTCCTGAAAATTGAACTAATTTCTGGGTCATTTCATTGGGTTGGGTAAACTGGAGCAGTTACTCTTTGGCTGAGTTTGATGGCTATGATGGTAAGAGATGTAGGGGATTTACATTTTGTTCTTCTTTTCTAAATATGATTACAATTTGATTCTTTTCAAAAAATCTATTTATTTTATTTGAAAGGCAGAGTTACAGAGAGGCAGAGAGAGAGGGAGGGGGAGAGGGGTCTTCCATCCCCTGGTTCATTCCCCAGATGGCTACAATGACCAGAGCTGAGCCGATCTGAAGCCAGGAGTCAGGAGCTTCTTCCAGGTCCAAGGACTTGTGCCATCTTCCACTGCTTTCCCAGGCCATAGCAGAGAGCTATATTGGAAGTGGAGCAGCTGGGACTTGAACCGGCACCCTTATAGGAGCCCGGCACTGCACACGATGGCTTTACCCACTGCTCCATAGCGCTGGCCCCTGACTTGATTCTTAAAAGTGTGTCTTTCATGATACCCTGAGGACATCTATGACGAGTATGGTTATGCCAGCGATCTTGACTGGTTGAGTAACTTTGAACTCAGACCCCTTCCTGCTGTCTTTGTTCTGATTCGTTTCTTTTTTACCAGTTAGCTAGCAATTCTACTTCCTTTGCCAGTTTTTTGCAAGACCAGAAAATATTTCTTACTATGCTTGTTAGCTGCATTTATCATAAATGAAAATGCTGAAATTCAGTTTTTTGTCTATGAAGGGTAGATATTTACTTGATTACTAATAGCTAACATCATATTCTGGAGCGATCAGCTGATGTACTGATGACAGTGATGTAGCCAAGATGTTAGGATGACCATTTCATTTTCTCTTTTGCCTTTTTGTATGATTCCTGGACTGAGATTAACTCTTTGTCTCTGGAAATAGCAGCAGATGTCTCCTGAGTATTCATGGACCCCCTTCCATAATATTTTTTTTAAAAAGATTTATTTATTTATTTGAAAGGCAGAGTCACAGAGAGAGAGAGAGAGAGAGAGAGAGAGAGAAAGAGAAAGAGGTCATCCATCTGCTGGTTCACTCCCCAGATGGCAGCAGTGGCCAATCCGAATCTGGAGCTGCACCAATCCGAAGCCAGGAGCCAAGAGCTTCCTCCAGGTCTCCCACACGAGTGCAGGGCCCAAGGACTTGAGCCATCCTCCACTGCTTTCCCAGGCCATAGCAGAGAGATGCATCGGAAGTGGAGCAGCCTGGACTTTAACCTGCACCCATATGGAATGCTGGCTCTGCAGGTTGTGGCTTTACCCGCTGTGCCACAGTGCTGTGACCATCCTCTTTCCATAATATTAACACATTACTGACAAACAGCTTCCCAGGAAAAGGTGGTGTTTCCCAGCCTTGCTGTCTTTGTGATCCTTTTTAAAAAATAAAGTAAGAGGCAGTCACCTTTGATGGATCAATTATTGGCTTGGGAAGTAATGGAGCTCAGATAATTGTTTATTTAATCTGTTATTCTTTGCTTTGGGGAAAAACCTCCAAAAAATACTAGAACAATGTCAAGGGTCACATGATGTCCTCTCCAGTGAATGATGAGTTTCCTGTGAATGATGTACAGAAAAGTCAGGAGCATTGTGTCCCCATTTCGGCCAACAGGACCATGACCTTGCCTTAGTCATGTAGACTCTCTGGTTCTCATTTTTGCTGTTTGCCTATAAAGTATAAAGATTTAATTTATTTCACATAAAATATTTTATAAATAGTTAATGTAGTCTTACAAATATGAAACTTCTTTCCTTTTACTAAAAATAAATCATCATTGAACTCTTAATTCATGTCAGAGTCTGTGCTAAGTGTGTTTAGTTATCTTTTGGAGTAGGTAACATTTTATGAATAAATGAGAGAATGGAGGCTTTGAAAATGGAAGCCAGTTAATCAAACCAGTGGACAACAGAGCTGGGATTCATTCTCATGTCTGTCTACCTCCATGTGCCATACTGTTAGTCATTATGTTGTGGCCATTAGATTTGGCTCATAAGAGGATTATAATTCATCTTGATTTGGGACATGTTTTACTTTAACAGAGTGAGTTTTCTCTTCCATCCTTCTACTTTCTATATATCTGAAAGCCTGAGGAATTGAAAGACTTTTTGAACTATCATGTGTTTCATTCTGTAAACAGTCCTAAACCATTTGAAAACCCATATCTGTTTTGAAATTCGATGTACTAGTTTAGTATTCAGTACAGGTGACAAAAATGGAACTTACACTGTTGTTGAATGCTCTTAAAAATTGGTTTGGTTACAGGAAAGAACCTTGGCTTAGAATGTAGGAGATTTGAGTTCTGATTCTGCCTCTGAAATTTACTCTGATAAAAACAATACTGTTTTGCCATGTTAATTTCATGTAAAGTAAATGATCAAATACATGAGAAACATTAAGGACCATAACAAAGTTTCTCTCTGTCAGCAATTGAAATATGTATAGTGGATTATTGTACTCATAATTAAAAATAATTTGGACTTGTCATTGCTTTGTGAAAATCTATAACTGCCTAAATATAAAGTGATACTTGACTGCTGCAGACATATGACGGCATACAGCCAGATAACCAAATTGCAGTCTGAATTATCTTGTAGTAATAAAGTGATTTCTGTATGACTATGCTGTATCGATTGGATAAGTAAGAAATTTAGGAATGTTTTACTATCCAAGTTGTGCAGAGTGAGACAGAATGGGAAGGAAGACTAGATTTTGAAAGTTGGTATTCTAGAGTGGAGAAGAAGAGGAAAGAGAATTGGAGGACAAATGAGGCTCAATAGGGTCATACAAAAAACATCCTGAGAATTTAATTAAGGATAAACTATGTACTATAGTTGGATGCTGAGTGTAGCTGGTGATTTTGCCATGTTGAAAAGTGCCGTGCTCTTGAACTAGGTCAAGTACAGTTATTTCTAGAACACAGTGAACCAGGGGGTGAATATTTTGAAAGATCATCTACACACATCTCAAAATTCAGACTTATTTCTCCAAGGAACAAGGCAAGAAAGTTGTGTGTGTGTGTTTACATATGTGTGTGCACATTTGTTTCATGGTGGGGGAGTTGGAAGATTGGGTTTGATCTGTTTGATAAACTCATTAGCTTTTTTCTTAAATAACTTTTTAAAAAAGATTTATTTATTGATTTGAAAGGCAGAGTTACACAGAGGCAGAGCAGAGAAAGAGAGAGAGAGAGAGAAAGAGAGAGAGAGTCTTCTATCCGCTGGTTCACTCACCAAATGGTGGCAACAGCTGGAGCTGGACTGATCTGAAGCCAGGAGCTTCTTCCAGGTCTCCCATGCTGGTGCAGGGGCCCAAGGACTTGAGCCATCCTCCATTGCTTTCCCAAGCCATAGCAGAGAGCTGGATCAGAAGTGGAGCAGCTGGGACTTGAACTGGCGCCCATAGGGGATACTGGTACCGCAGGCAGCACCGGCCCCAAACTCATTATCTTTTTTTTTTTTTTTTTTTCGACAGGCAGAGTGGACAGTGAGAGAGAGAGACAGAGAGAAAGGTCTTCCTTTTGCCGTTGGTTCACCCTCCAATGGCCGCCGCGGCCGGCGCGCTGCGGCCGGCGCACCGCGCTGATCCGATGGCAGGAGCCAGGAGCCAGGTGCTTTTCCTGGTCTCCCATGGGGTGCAGGGCCCAAGCACCTGGGCCATCCTCCACTGCACTCCCTGGCCACAGCAGAGGGCTGGCCTGGAAGAGGGGCAACCGGGACAGAATCCGGCGCCCCGACCGGGACTAGAACCCGGTGTGCCGGCGCCGCTAGGCGGAGGATTAGCCTAGTGAGCCGCGGCGCCGGCCCCAAACTCATTATCTTTTAACACCTGTTGTTTGATCAAGCATTTTCAGCGTTTCCCAAATCATAGTTACCCAGGCACCACTTTCAGCAGTTTTTGCTGTATCTACTTTTTATCATTATTTTACATTTGAATGTAATTGAACAGACATTATTTATCTGTTGAAACCTCAGGTTTGATGTGATAGTTACAGTTTTCATAGCACACTGAACTTCTTAAGAACATAAAATTAGCATTAAAACTGGTCCATTTATGGCATACCTACAATTGTCTTGAGAAATGCTTCTTTCATTTAATTTAGCTCTTCTCTTGATAGACCAGGTAGAGTGCCTAGGGTAGAAGGTCAAAGGAGGAAATTAAAAGGCTTGAAACAGTTTTTTTGTAGTTTTCTAGACAGATTTAAAATGATTGGTAAGAATTATGTCTGCCCTTAGGTAATTAGCCTAAAGAAAGTTTGTATTCAATTTTGGTTTCCTTTCCTTTCCTTTCCTTTCCTTTCCTTTCCTTTCCTTTCCTTTCCTTTCCTTTCCTTTCCTTTCCTTTCCTTTCCTTTCCTTTCCTTTCCTTTCCTTTCCTTTCCTTTCCTTTCCTTTCCTTTCCTTTCCTTTCCTTTCCTTTCCTTTCCTTTCCTTTTTCCTTTCCTTTCCTTTCCTTTCCTTTTCCTTTCCTTTCCTTTCCTTCCTTTCCTTTCCTTTCCTTTCCTTTCCTTTTTCTTCCTTTTCCTTTCCTTTCCGTTCCTTTTCCTTTCCTTTCCTTTCCTTTCCTTTCCTTTCCTTTCCTTTCTTTCCTTTCCTGTTCCCTTTCCTTCCTTTCCTTTCCTCTTTCCTTCCTTTCCGTTCCTTTCCTTTCCTTTCCTTTTCCTTTCCTTCCTTTCCTTTCCTTATACTTTCCTTTCCTTCTTTCCTTTTCCTTCCTTTCCTTTCCTTTCCTTTCCTTTCTTTCCTTTCCTTTCCTTTCCTTTCCTTTCCTTTCCTTTCCTTTCCTTTCCTTTTTCCTTTCCTTTCCTTTCCTTTCCTTTCCTTTCCTTCCTTTCCTTTCCTTTCCTTTCCTTTCCTTTCCCTTTCCTTTCCTTTCCTTTCCTTCCTTTCCTTTCCTTTCCTTTTCCTTCTTTCCTTTCTTTCCTTTCCTTTCCCTTTCCTTTCCTTTCTTTCCTTTCCTTTCCTTCCTTTCCTTTCCTTTCCTTCCTTTCCTTTTCCTTTCCTTTCCTTTCCTTTCCTTTCCTTTCCTTTCCTTTCCTTTCCTTTCCTTTCCTTTCCTTTCCTTTCCTTTCCTTCCTGCCGTACTGAAGTATACCATTTCATAAGTGTTATTTTATTTATGTTCTAGCTAAAATTTATTTTCTGGAAAATTTCAAACTTACCTTGGGTTCAAATAAGAAAAACAAGGTTTCCCCTTTTCATTTTGGTGATGAGATCAACTTTACTGGCTCCTAATTCCAAGGGTTCATTCAGTTGGTGCAGCCAGTGTCTATGAGCTACCTCTTGTGTGCCAGATTCAGTACTAAGCTCCATGGTGCACAGAGGAAGCCATGGTTCCCGCTTTGTGTGTGGCATGATGGATAATCAGTCTATTGTGGTACAGTAGTGCCAGACACAGGAGCAAACTCTTTGGTAGATTAACAAAGGTCTTCATAGCCAGGAAAGTATGGGGGCTGGAGATAGAGTGGGGCATGGGGCAAAGCCAGAGTTCTGTCTCCTCAAGCAATCATAATGATTGTTTGCAGAATTTCTGTGGGTTCTGCGTTGGCCCACATGATATTCCAATAGAATCTAAGTGCTGAAATCTAAGTGCCTTGCTGCTCCAACACCCTCACATGAATTTGAGCTAATAACTGGGGAACCTTCAATAACAGTTGGCATATTGAGATGGCATCATTCCCAAAACACCACCTTAATGAGGCTCTGTGTTTCACGATCAACTCTTTTTGTTCAGATATACTCAGGCAGCCCTATGTGATTGGAAGCAAGATGGCAGAAGTGGCTGGGATCATGTGTGAGTTTTGTCAGGTTGGACATGTAGACCCCACAGCGTGAAGAGCCCTTGGGACAGCCCTCAGTGGCTCCCTCAGTGGCTCCATGCCTGGGTATGGGGGTGGTTTGCATAAAAGAGGAAGAAAATGAAATCAGCCTTAAGCTTTTACGTGTAGGGGATGTTTGTAGAGAATCTGAGATGGAAAAATTCTGGTCTCCACATATCTTCTTACTCATACCCTCATAACCCAAGCCACTTCCTATACCTATAACTTAAGCTCCCACACATTCAAAAGCCAATAGTTGAGGGAAGATTTTTCAATTGTATACGTTGGGGGTCAACCAAAGGAGAAGCTTCCAACTTCTCCTTGCCCTGGGTGCCTAACATCCCCATCATGCTGATTGCATTAATGACAGCATGCAATCTGAGGCTTTTAAAAATTTTTATTATTTAATTGTTAGCAGTATTGTTCTCTGAAAGGAACAAGAAATAAACGCCTGAGGGGACTGAGCATTACTTCAGTCCCAGCCACCTCTCTGTGTTGCCAGAAACCACACCCCTCCTCAGGCATAACCTCAGAAGACTGTTTCTTTTGGCTGGATCTCTGACCTTGACGGATCCAACCAGTCGGTTTGAAGCTTTGGGTGCTAGACTTAACACCAGCAGAGTCCAAGAGTTATTTCTATTTTATATGTTTTATTTAGCATGGCTGTATTAAAAATTTTATTTCTTAGAAGTTCTGTTCCTGAAATAAATATGAAAGGTTTTATAAAATCAGCCTTTGAGTTTCATGTGTACACTCTATAGTCTAAGTCTCATTTGGAAAATGCGGTAGCATCTGCAAAAGATGCCATATTGACTTCTCTGTTGGAAACACAAGTTGAGTATGTGGATTGATATTCAGTCTGTGTAAAATTCTTAGTCTTTCTTTTGAAAGTTATGAGGCAGTTTTTCCTTGGAAAAATAGTTTGTGTTCAGCTTGGGAGGTTGATTTTTCACCATCGGCTTCTCCCTTTAATAATTGAAAACCACTGTTCATTATTTACATAAAACTGTCTTTTTCTGGTCTGCTTTCTCTAACCTTTCCCCTCTTAAGAATTTTAAGAATTCCCTGACTTTCCTCTGGGGGATTTTGTGCCTGCTTTATCCCAGATGTGGAACATGGACCAGGCTGAGGTTTCTTTTTTTTTTTTTCTTCTTTTTTTCTGTGTGTGTGTGTGTGTGTGTGTGTGTGTTCTTAACATTTGAAAGACATTCTTTTAACTGGTGCACAAATCTGCCACTGAAGAAAGGGCTTTTAATAAAGTCAAGTAGTTAAGAAAATATGTGAGCTGGGTTTTAAATTTCTTACTGAATGACACCAAAATCCCATATGCAAAATGAAAAAGTAGACAGTAGTTTCAAATAAAAAAGGAGAAATGCACAGATGTTATTTCTGCCCTTTAATTCTGGGATTTTACTTTCTGATTGAAGGCATGTCAGTTTCTAGTGCCAGTGGCCTTATGTCTGATCTCCTCTGCGTGCTTGCTGATGTGAGCCCAGGGAATGGACAGGATTGGCAGATGTTTACCCTGCCTTTATCTGCTCTGTTTCCACTGTCTTCTCCCACAAGAGGATAGTTAGCCTTATTCATAATATTTTGTTTATTGACGTTCTCATAGATATCTTGCTCCTAACCTCTGGTTCAGAATGGAAAATGTAGGAAGAAGGGAGAAATTAGGGTGAAGGAAGCTGATTTAAGAGATACATGGTTTTCTGTTTTTTTTTTTCTTAATGTCTACCGAGATTCCCAGACGACAATTCACCACCAGCTTTTGGTTATTGTGGTTTATATGTTAATGTCTAAAAAAATTATAAAATCTAAACTTACTGCATAATATGTAAGAAAAATACCAAGGAGATTTTTTTCTTCCCTACTTGAACAAATATTATGCTGTTTGCCTGTATCCAGAGTTCTGTTTTCTTGATGAATACAATTCTAATGAATTTAGTTCTACAAAATCAGCTTACTAGGTTTTAAATTTCTTTCTAGTTTAAATTTTTGTAGTGTTTTCAAAATCTAAATATGAAAGCTTTTTTTTTTTTTTTTTGCAATATTTAGTCCTTTTTCTGGAGAGTGTGGTCCTGCTTGTCATATGTTTTCACTTACATCATGTTCCCTTGGCTGACATGTGCTTTTATTCTTTTATCTCATGTAGGATCTTTCGAAGATGGTTTGGCTGCCTTGGAGATTTGGAGATCTGATGCCACGATGAGGACTCACACACGGGGGGCTCCCAGTGTGTTTTTCATATATTTGCTTGGCTTTGTGTCAGCCTACATCACTGATGAGAACCCAGAAGTCATGATTCCCTTCACGAATGCCAACTATGACAGCCACCCAATGCTGTATTTCTCCAGGGCAGAGGTGGCAGAGCTCCAGCTGAGGGCTGCCAGCTCCCACGAGCACATTGCAGCCCGAATCATAGAAGCCGTGCACACCATGCTGTCCAGTCCATTGGAGTACCTACCTCCCTGGGATCCCAAGGACTACAGTGCCCGCTGGAATGAAATTTATGGAAACAACTTGGGTGCCTTGGCAATGTTCTGTGTGCTGTATCCTGAGAACATCGAAGCCCGAGACATGGCCAAAGACTACATGGAGAGGATGGCAGCGCAGCCTAGTTGGTAGATTTTTGTCTTTTTCTTCTTACTGTATTAAATGTGCATTAGCTCTGCAATTTCAATAAATGAATCCATGTTCAGATGAAATTCCAGAGGCTAGATTTTTATCTACACTTTCATATGATGGAGGTATTACTCATTATTTGTGTTGCCAGTGGCTGATGAATGACCCATAGTTTGAAAATACCTAGTAACATCCCTGTTTAGTTAGAAGGAAAATACTTAGATGAAGCCTAGCCAAAGAAAAAATAATTTGCTGAATTGAATAAACAGCATTATCATCCTGATTGCTAAGAATTCTTTCCCCTTATTGAACATTATCATAACCTGTAAGGTTTTGATTGACTCTTCCAAGCAGTTAAAACTTTTTGTTAGCAAGAGATTTCAGCCAATTAAGATTTATTTGCATTTTATAACAATAAGGAGCTAAAAGTCAATGTGATGGAATAGACTGTGGGTTTATCAACAAGATCCTGTCCAATAACCAGAAGAACCCAAACCTATGTAATTGTTTGAGGAATTCTAAGTATGCAATAATTTACTTTCAGAAGTTTATGGTTCAAGAACAAACTTTGTCTTTTCACTCTTTATTACCTTAATTTTACTTTGTTTAGAATTAATATTTCTGTCTACTTCCAAAAAGACATGAGGTGAATTCATTTCAGTAAAGATCTGGCCAATATTTTTACTTAAACTGTGTTTTAATATGCATTCATGTTCAATTGCACTAGAAAAATGTACAAATAATATGAAATACTCTTAAAATTGTGTAAGCTGACACTTCTCATAGGTCTGGAGAAAGCCCATTTTTAAATGCTTAGAAAAATTGAATGCATTTAGTGCTGTGATGAATTGCATCTTTTATGTCACAGAGGTGAAGGATGTTTGTAAGCTTCCTGATACATTTCTGGAATTTCTTCATGAAATACTGTGGAAGCATTGGCATTAAATCCATATTAGAATTCATTGTTTAGACTTACTGTTAAGAATATAAAGTCATTTTAAAACCTTTTATTTGGCTTATTTATTTATTTATTTTTTAAGATTTATTGGCCAGTGCTGTGGTGCAGCAGGTTAAAGCCCTGGTGGCCTGCAGTGCTGGCATCCCATATGAGCACTGGTTCCATTCCTGGCTGTTCCACTTCCAATCCAGCTCCCTGCTAATGTGCCTGGGAAAGAAAGCAGTGGAAGATGGCCCACATCTTTGGGACCCTGCACACATGTGGGAGACCTGGAAGAAGCTCCTGGCTCCTGGCTTTGGATCGGCTAGCTCTGGTCATTGCAACCATTTTGGGAGTGAACCAGCAGATGGAAGAGTGCCTCTCCTTTTCTGTCTCTTACCTCTCTGTGTAACTCTGAAAGTCAGAGTCACGGAGAGATAAGGAGAGACAGAGAGATAGATCCTCCTCCTTTCTGGTTCGCTCCCCAGATGGTTGCAAGGGTCTGGGCCAGGCACCAGGAGCCAGTGGCTTCCTGTGCATCTCCTATGTGGGCAGGAGGGGCCCAAGCACTTGGGTCATCCTCCACTGGTTTTCCAGGCCATCAGCAGGAAACTGGATTGGAAATAGAGCAGCAGGGACAGGAACCAACACCCATATGGACTGTCAGCATCACAAGTGGTAACTTTACCTATTATGCCACAATGCCAGTCCCTATTTGATTTATTTTAAAGCTTAGCTATAAGTATTGTATTTATTAGTTTCTGACTTTGACTCATATGGAATGATCTTATTCTGTTCCTGACACCAAGAAGGCAAGTAAGAGATGTGAGAAAACTTATCTGATACTTGAACTACATGATTATTATCAGATATTACAATAACTCACTTGACATGCAATTAGTTAAAATGGCACTGATACTTACATTATTT